AGACTAGATGGCCGTGGGTCAAAACCAATGGTACGTACCATTTGGGGTAGGTGCACCACCCATTTTGGCCGGTGGGGATTGGGATGTTCACTGGGAATACGGGGTTTTGACCCATGGCCACAAAAACATGCCTTTATATTACTATAAACATGGGCTCCAAGGCAAGCCCAAGGCACGTATACCCGGACGGGGAGCCAAATGTCGCCACCCTCGGAAGTCAGGAACGCGGCGCCCAGGAAGGTGCTCGAGTTGATGGTGTTCTTCGAGGGTTGGAAAAGGACCTTTATGGAACCAGGAGGTGCTTTGGTGTATGCGGGGGTTTAACACCGCCAGGGCGGGTCTTGCAAACCTTATTGGTCGGCATGAGCGCTCCAGACTCAGAGGGGCCGCTGTGCAAGCGCTTGCGCATGTGGTAATCGCCAACGCTCAAACGCCAATGGACATTGATGAAAAAGTGGCGTGCGTGGTGCGAAGTGGTGCGACACATGTTGGACGTTTGCAGGGTTTCTGGAGGTTTGACAGGACATCAACGTTTGGAACCAAAGGTTCCAGGGTTCGAGTACGTGGATATGTCATTGACAGGCTTGGCTTACGCCTTGGCCTGTTGCCTTTTTGTTGTTTATGTGTTTCCTTCATGCTCCCTTTCAACCAACTTGACTCTTTGCAGGGAACCTAGGCCTGGATTTCACGTCTTGAGGTTTGCACGGGTCTAGGCGCATGGGGCCCGCTTCCCGCTTTCGCAAGGTGCAGACGGCGAGCAGGAGGCCCGCACATCAGACATGTGTTCAACGTTTGTTCATGTCAGCCACAAGCAAATGCCGGGTACGTTCAGCTTCCCTCCATTTGGTGATGTGGATTTGTGGTTGGGGGTTGGTTCCCATTTACCCTCTACGAGAACTAGCAGAATCCCTGGAATGATGATTCCCCTGTAAATAGCGAAAAATGGTTTCAACCATGGTTTTAAGGTGGCTAAGGTGGTGTAGGATTTCGTCCATCCACAGTAAGGCTCAGGTCGAAGACCTAAATCGACCATTGAAGTTGCTTGTTTTCAGTTGGTTCAGACGAAGTCCTTGCCTCAACGCGAGGCCTTCCACCCAGACCTCCAGCAGTGCTTGTTTTCTTCTAATTCCTTGGGGCCATCAAGGCCATTTGAGCTCAGGCAGACTGCCATGCACAAGGCGGAGTTGCAGGGCATGAAGGACAGAAGAAACAAGCAGAACACTTTCGCTGCATGGTTTTCCCCAATTAGTTTGTGGGTTCAAGACGTAATTGTTCGAAAGATCCACGAATAAATTTGGTTGCGGCCAGTGCGAGACAAGGACTAACACTGAGAAAAGGTCAAATGGTCAAGCTTTGGAAAAGTGAGGTGAAACCCTACGGAACAAGTTTCTAACAACGACACCTTGCCATCCAATAAATCATCTACCGTGGTTTCATCATTGTTCTAATCGTGGATGTCCCGTTTTGCCACCCGTCATTCTTCAAGAACCACCACAAATCTTGGCTGCTGACTGACCATTTTCTGCCCAGACGCTCCTGGGGCTTCCAATGGAAGACCTAGACCCTCCATTGGACACCCCAGAGGGGTTTTGGGGTCTCAACACCTGGCCGTTGGAAGGCCCAAAATCAACCGGGAGCGTCTGGGTGAGAGAAAAAAACACTCCCTAGAAAGAATGGGCGTGACTGACTATTTCGAGGCACATGACTTGGACCATCTTGGACCTTTTTTTGGGAGGCCGTCTGACTTCACGGGGCCAGTGATAGGCGTGCAATCCTCGGCGCACGGTGAAATCCTTCCATTTGCTGCAGAAGGTGTTGTATTTTTCCCTTGTTGGTTTTAACGGGAACTCATCACTACAGGAAATATGTTGTTTTCTTCCAGCACGCTAAAGCAAATGAAAGAATCGCATTTGGTGTCGAAGGGGTTCCATTCTAATGGTCCGCCCCTAAAAACGCCCGGAGTCGGTGGTTGCCACTCTGGGCATGCGAGGAGATGGTTCAAAGCTGGCGAAAGGAGCGAAGGGGGGAGGGGGGGTGGGGGGTCACAGCCTGCACCTCAGCGTTGTGAAAAAACAACTCTCCTATGGAGAACGCCCTGTCGGGTTTATCAAGGTGGGTTCATGACCAGCCCAGTTATGTGCGTAGCATCCCAGAGGAAGCCATTGTTTGGGTCACCCAACTCGCATTGTGAATTGTAGTGTCCCAGATGAATTCCGGGCTTTTGCCCCAAGTTCCCACAGTGAGACAGCGTATGTGGGCCCGCATGAGCCGAGCGGGATGGATCCCTTGGCTGGCTCGGAGCCAAGGGTGCTGCTAAGCAAATCAGGAGGCGGACTCTCGCAGTCAGAAAGCGGAGGATCTTGGCAAGCAGGCAGGGCCCGAAATCCCGTTGGCTGTCGTTGCCCTTATGTTTTGGTTCATTCTCCGGCATCAACTTGCAGCAGTGTCATGCAAGTGTGCAGGTGTTCGTAGGCGAATTGCAGATTTGAGGTAGCCATGCTTCGAAAGAGGACCTGACGACTTTCCGACAGCCCGGTTTCCCACAGGAAATGTTGAAAGCCCCCCTCTCCACCTAGCAAACTGCTGATGAAATCTGTTCGGCGCAGGATCGAGGTTTCTCTCAACAGGCAGGTCTGCCACAACATGATCTGCCACAACATATATTTTCCCATGTTGCCTCCTTTTGAAAAGCTTCCTTGGGTTTTTTTTACGGCAATTTTTTGGGTGAAACGTCCACGGCCCTTCTCAACTGAAGGAACAGCTCCGTAGAAAGGCTCGAGCCTTTCATAGGTCGCTATGGTTGGTCGAGGTACCAGTACCGGTGTGAGACGAGCATTGGGCCAGAGAACACACAGAGATTTCCCCAAGAGTTAGAGGGTAAATATCCATCCAAATAGCAGCCAAGTCAGGTCCTGTGTTTGTCACATGCCCCTCCAATACTGTTGGGCCCCCCCTATCCGAATTGAGGCTAATAGCCAAATTGTGGCTGATGGGATTGGCTGGGGGGGTGACAACTATGATCAGGTCAGTTCTTCAGCCAAGTTTTGAGGCATTATTCCGCCAGGTCCGACAGCACCAGGAGCGTCAGGAGAGAAGAGCCCGGCGTGGCTTGGCCGAGAATCGGCCGGTCGCTGCGGTTTGAGTATCTTTACGCCATTCCCCACCCCCACTCTGTAATGTACAGTTGGTATGGGCCTGAACCTAGGGATCATTCTTTGCAGAAAGCCACCAAACCCCAAAGAAAGCAGCTGGTTGAGGCTGAAAAGAAGGATGGCTGAAAAGAGCGGGAACCTCCATGGGACTTCACCAGGGGCCCATGGAAGACAAGTTTTCTCGGGAAAAATCTGAAGGCAACCGACAGCAACGTGTCACGGAGTCAACGGCACGGTTTCGCCAGGGGCCGAGGAGCTGCGGGTCCAGGACCAGATCCACATGGTGAAGGACCTGGGCATAGCGCCCGCCTGAGACCAAAGGGGTGTCAAGGTTGTTTGGTGTCCATTTGGGTATGGGTCAAAATTAAACCAACAGGGGACCACAGGTTTAGTCATTGTTTCCATTTACCAGGGTGCCATTTTGGGTACCTATTTTTGACCCACAGCCATTTTAATCGGCCGGCGTCCACGGGTGCAGTTCGCATTTTTTTGTAAAAATGGCAGGAGTTCGATTCCCGGCTGGAATGTTTTGCCACGTTGTGCACTCACACATTGACGCATGCATTTGTTTATTTGCTTGGATTTACCATGACCACTCCTCAGACGTGTTTTTCCTGTTTGCTGAAGTTTGTTTCGACGTCGCTGGTCCACATTTTCTTCGGGAGAAGATAATCTTGGTTTTCCGTTTTTTGGCCAAGGTCCTCATAGGTTAAGCTGTTCATGTCCTGGGGCAGCCAAGCGTTGGTTCACGTTGTGGCGGGCTGCCCTTTGAAGTCAACTGGCACTCATGTCTTTATAGCACTTGTAGCGCTAGAATGCGCTAGATATGATTAGCGTTGTTTATTCTGGGATTGGATCAGTGTGATGTGTGCTTATATTTCAGAAACGAGGCCGGCCCTGTTGGAGCAAGGCGAAAGTCCACCTTTTCTAGAATCCAAGCCCGCTTCCCAACCCGCCCCGCCCCCCGTCCCCCCAAGCAGGCCTAGGGTCGCAGGTACATCAGCGCGTGCCTCGCGCGCGTCAGGTCATGAAAGGCGCCACCTGCTCAGCACGAGAGAGAGAGAGAGAGAGGGAGACAGAGCCGAGCTTGTGGTTCGTTTGGGTAGGGGGGGGGGGGGAAATCGGGCCTCTGCACGACAAATCGATTTTACTTTTGCCCCTTCATTATTAATACTTCTATTTAAAAAAATGAGCAGGTCTAACTACCCAAATGAACCGATAGAGAGAACTGTTGTCCGTTACTCATCTCAGCTGGTCAGGTTGCAGACGTTAATTTTGTTGTTGATAGGCTTGTTCGTCAGTTGTGTAAAGATCCCAGACAAGTGTGAGCTGTGAGCTCTTTCTGGCGGAAATCAACTGAGTCAAGGTGGGCGACATTCGTCGCAGCCGCGCCAGCGAGCAGCGAGCTGCGCCACAAGCAAGCGTGGCTCAAGGGGAATTCATCAACAGACAAGCAGCTTCACTATTTGACGGTCAGAGGCATCTCTCCAGGAGAAGGCAGCTCAAGCATGCCGCGTAGCTTGCGCCCCAGGCTTGGCTTCCGATTTGGTGAGGAACACTGTGGTAAGACTTGGGTTCGCGAACTCGCCCGCTGAAGGCTCCTTTATGGTTTTCCCATTTCCAGGGGTTGGTGCCAGCTTAGCCAGAGGAATGACCGGGACTGATTCCATGCAAACACAATTTTACCCACAGCTAAAAATCACTGAAACTCTTAAACTCTTTCCACCAGCCTGTTTGTTTTCTAGGTTTTTGGAAGGTATGGGGATGGAAAGCTTCAGGCGTTTGGCCAAACCCCCCAAGGGGTGGAATTCGAGAAATCGGCACCTCGGCTCACATGGCTAGCGCGCCATGGGCAGTGGCGCTATGAAGCACGCAGGGCGCTCGTTTCTGGGGTTGGGCGGCGGAGGAGGCGCATTGCTTCCAGACCTGAGGCGATTGTAGACTATCACGCCTTAAACGGCCTTGTTAGGCGTTATCATACGGCATCTGGCCCTATCCGGCGTTCATGCAGGCTGCGGTCCTTTAAAGGAGAACCAACAGGAGGTTGCATGAGTGGCTAAAGAAATGTTTGAACAAGGGGCGGGCCCAACCCTTCCACCCAAAGTTTGTTTTATTTCTGCCTCCATCAATCACGCTCATCATCACAACAGTGTCTATGGAAGGGGGCCTAGTCCACATAGGGGCCATGCTGAGGACATTCCCTTTGGCTGGCGAATGCACAATTGGACTGCATGATTTCCAGCTAGGGGAGCCCATTGTGGAAACATAGTTGGGCCCCTTGCAACTCGCCTCAGAAGAACCTTCAACCGTTTCAACGTGTATTGATTGTCTTCGTTCAATGGGGTGGGTGGAACAAACCTTGGGTTTTGCACTAGCAGGCCCTTGTCCCAAGTGTTGGTCAAAAAGGCAAATGTCCCTCAGGCCATGGCGCAGTTCTCAAAGACGTGGTTTTGGCCGCACACGTAAGGGATTGATACTGTGGATGGACGAAGATCAGTCATTCCAGGGCCCCTTTTGTGGTGCAGGATTTCACGGTTGTCGGTATTTACAGGGGAACATCTGAACCCAGGGTCTCTTAGGTGCGAAATGGATTTCATTTCGTCCATCCACAACGGCCTAGCTCCATATTTGAAAGGCGTGCTAGCAGCGTGGCATGTAGTGGCATGTAGACTCCCAGGGCCGACCACGCCTTTGACAGGGACATCCCCCACACAGTTGGTGGTGGTTGTTCTTGCTGGTTCCAAGCGGGGAATTGGGAATGACCCTATAAACCATCATTTATGGTTTCCCTTTCAGCGAATCCTAGGTTCATTCTCAAAACTCTGGGTCATTCCCTACTGAGCACCTGCAAGTTTTGTCTGATTCTTTGGGGCAGCGTTTCTTTTTGGTGGGAGCTGGAGCTGGCTGGGACCTTGTGACGGGTGGAATATCAACATTTGGAGGATTTTCTCGTCGAGGAAGGAGCTTCTGGGTGGTTGGTTGGTTGGTGGGTGGGTGGGTTGGTGGGTTGGTGGGTTGGTGGGTTGGTGGGTTGGTGGGTTGGTGGGTTGGTTGGGTTGGTGGGTTGGTGGGTTGGTGGGTTGGTTGGGTGGTTGGCTGGCTGGTTGGCTGGTTGGCTGGTTGGTTGCTGGCTGGTTGGCTGGTTGGTTGCTGGCTGGTTGGCTGGTTGGCTGGTTAGTTGGTCAGTCGGTCCTTCGGTCAGTTGGTTTCTGTGCAAATTTGCAAGTCTAGGTTCCCCAGTAGTTCCCTTTTACCCTTTTTGGGGGGTTCCCCAACTAAAATAGACTACAGGAAAAGGGTACTCTTATTCTAGCCTCTCTGGAGGACCTAGAAGTGCTGCAGGTGGAAAACCCACATTCAACCAGAGAGCGTGGCTAGCCAGGCCAAAGCGACCGCGTGTTTTGCTCATCCGCAGCTTTTCGGGGTCGCGGGATCCCATTTCAGCGCCATGAGCCCCATCCACAACTGGCAGCCCAGCTGCCAGCAGCTTTTGCTTTGCTCATTGGGCCGTATGGTCACACCAGGTTCTTTGGTGGCTGGTTTCCAAAATCAGTACTCACTCAGCCAATAAGTTGGGTGTGCATGCCAGAGCTTCATACATGGGTTCATACCTTCGGCCCTTGCTCAACTCAACCATGGGAAAAAAAAACACCGTGTTTGGCGCGCTGGCCGAGAAGCTGCCAGCCAGACGGGAAGTCTTTTGGTTTCCAGGAGTTCATGGGATGTCAGAGTGAAATCCGGTGGTTCTCACAGCCAGTGTCCAACCTGTTCCTCATAGGAATAGAGTCCCACCCCCCACCCCCCCGCCTGTCCTCTCTCCCCAAAGCCCGAAAAAAAGACCTTGTCAAGCTCTGAATTGAAAAAACAGGAGCTGGGGGTGGATTAGGGGAGGCGGGGCTGGATCCTATGGGTAGGGCCCCAGCGGGTTTCTCCTTATGCCAACAGGGGATTCACTATTTTGAGACACTCGATGTCCTTTTGGAGTTCCCCCCTTGGTCACATCGTCACGACCCCAAAAGGTGATCTGGGTCTTTTGGGCCACTGAATTTCGGGCAGGATCATAGATGTCCTTTTCAGGCTTGCTTGGATAGAAACAAATGGGTTCCGCTGGTGTAGATTGGTCCCATTCCGTTTACCAGAACCATTTGGCCATGAATTCTAAAACAACCGCCTCAAAAGTGATCGGTGGACATGGATATCCACCTAACTGATGGCCACCATTTTCGGTTTTTTCCCCTGCAAAGTCATCGACCCCTCCCTCGTTCCCAAAAAGGTCACCGGTTGCTCAGGATGTTGTGGCTCCTGGCACTGCCCCTGGCGGCGCCGGCGGCGGCCGACATTTCTTCACTTCCGGCGCTCTCCGGCGATGTCTCCGGGTGGCTGTCCTTGAGCACCTCCATCCAGGCAACGCTTGGGTCGACGGGCTGCCTTCCCTTTTGGGCAACCAGGTTTCTGTGTTCTTTATTGGTTCAGTGCGTCCATAGTTGTTGGCACCCAGGTCTTTGCACAGGATTGTTCATGCATGAGTCTTTGACCTATTGGAGGAACTCAGCTGTTTCCTTCATCCCAGACCCCATAAGTTGGTAAGCTGGGACCCAATTGCCCAGAGGCGTGCGTAATGGCCCATGTGGGGCTGTTGGTGTTTTGGTGACTCTTTTCACAAAAGCTGTGCTGCGCAATCGCGGGACTTCCCCTAGCTTTAGCTTCTTTTAGGCCTCAGGCCTTCCGATCCCCCACCATCGAATGAACAAATCCTCCTCCCCTCAAAGGCTTCGATTCCCTCTGGCCCGTGTACATGTTGTTGTTGGGCTGGCTAGCTTTTGTGAACCTCTCAAGTGGGGCGGTTTAAAGCGTTCAAAAGGGGGTCAAAAGGGCGCTCATGTTTGGTCTTTGTCTTATTTGGAGAATGTGAGGCGTGGTGGAAACCTACAAGTCGATGGCTTGACTGTCATGTGACCTGGCACGTCGGAACACCCAAGTGGGTTGTCAAACAACCACAACGGACCCGATGCAACCAAGATGGACATGTTGCCTTTGCTTTTTTTGAGAAGTGCAGTGGTAACTTGATTATTCCAGCGGGATTCACAGGCAGTTTCATGTCCCAAAGTGTTTCGGGGCGTGTGGGATGTGCTTTGAATTTGGCTTTTGGCCCATGGGTTCGTCCAAGACCGAGGGTCCTTACGTCTGATCCTCTTGTTTTGTGGGAAGGATCAGACATGGCTCATGTTGATGGCCACAATTGTGCTTGGGTGCAAGCATGCTCCTCGTTCCCCCGCCCGGGCTTTTGTTGGTTTCCAAAGTGAGGCCTGTTTTTTTTCTTCTTCTGATCTCAGCCAGTCTGAGTTTGCTGGGTTTTTCCGTTGCATTGGTTTGTAGCATGTTTTTGCTCCTGGTTTTCACGGGATTCCTGCAAGAAGCATCTTTCCCCAGGCCCTTTGCTTCCCCCTAGTATCCCCGACAAGGCTTTTGGGGTTTTAATTTCTAAAGGCCTTATTTGGAAGAAAGCAGGCCGGGGTTGCTGAGGCTAGCTAGCGGGGGGTGTATATGAACAGTTCGCACATCCAGGAGAAGCGCTTGCGTATCCATAACAGCTGCCTCAGCGAGCCCGTGTGGATTGCCCACATGGCCGGCTATGGCACTGGCCCGGACAACCAGAAGCTTGGTGAGTTGGCAAACTTTGAGAACTTTGCGTTGGTTCACCCCTGACCTTAGATGAATCCACCAAGGGGTGAAAGCAAGCTCGCCCAAAACTTCCCTGTTCAAGTTGCAAGCTTATTTTGGTGGCGGCTTTTTTTCAGGATGTGTGTCTAGGGCCCAAAGAGTACATGTTTGTTTCCAGCTAGTCGACTCAGTGCAGCAGTTTGAGGAACATCAAGATCGGCCCGGGCGAGATGTTCGACTTTGTGACCTGGACAGGGCTAAGTAGCACGCGCTATTGGCCCAAGTTCCGGTGCGACGAGCCTTGGAGCAACAGGCCATTGGAAGATGGGAGTTTAGGTTGCCACGTGCTGCTCTGCCAAATCCACGTCTACTCAGCTGTTGGGACCTTTCTGGGGCGGTGGGGGGGGGGGGAATTGGTGGGTTACTCATCGCTTACCTGGGTTTCCCTGACCCTTAGAGGTGACCACAGGGTGCCATTGACACTTCGAGCTCATTTTGCAGTACCGAGCCCTGGACCACCCATTCAATACCCTACCTGCGGGATAGCACTAAAGCAGAGAGAAAGAGGAGAGAGAGAGCAAAAAAGAAAAAAACTTGTCTCCGGCCCGATGGCAACAGATCCGATCTGAGGAATGGGGCAACAACTGCAAGATCGGCGAGAGCGGAGGCCCAGGCCAGACCTGCAAGGAGTGCGCGCCGCCTGTGGACACAAAGTTCGAAGCGACCCGCCCTGCGATTTGAAGTCTGCGGGCGCTTTCGTCGTTTTGGGCGGTTCTTTGTGTGTGTGTGTGTGTGTTGCGGTTTGACATTATTTATGTGTTTTTTTTTTTTTTTTCTGTTTGATGGTTTTCTTTGTTTATTTTGTTGTGTGTGTGTGTGTTTCATGTCGTGTCTTTGTGTGTATCTTTGTTTGATTGGTTGGGTGAATGGCTCGTTGGTTGCTGAGGCCACCTTTGGAGATGCCAGCTTGGCCTGCGACATGCCCGGGCCCTCGGTCTCCGTGAGCTGATTTTCAACACGTGTCCTTGGCGGTTCCAGCAAATCCTCCGGTTCCACTTGGGTTTTTAGCGGTTTTGAGTTGGTTGGGCTTCCATTTGACCCAGAAGTTTCAAGAAAATCATATTTAGGGGATCTGAGGACAGCCCAGTGTCCTTTTTGGTTGTGGTGAAAAGTGGATGGCCCTTGACCTGGTTGTTTCAGCATCCAGTTCC